TACTTTCGATTTGATTTGAAACTGTCTCATTGCTCTATGTTTATCAATAAAACTTTGAAAAGAAAAAAAAAAATTACTGTCCAAAATAAGGTAAGTATTCTTGATAGACTTGCACCAGGAGCCTATGAGCCACTATCGTGTTATTAGTTATATCCTAAATATGATGCCCTATTATATTATTTAATGAAATAAATTGAAGTTAAACCCTTAAATTGATACTTTTACAATTTTGTTTTATAAGTCTTCACACGATTTTTTCTTTTATAATCTAGCATCAACTGTGAATTTTGAAGACTATCAGAGTGTAACTCGTTTTTTGGACCTCATACCTCAAGATACTCTGGCAGTAGCTTCTTTTCGCTCCAAAGCATACACACGGGCTGTAATGCACTTTGAATCATTTATTATAGAAAAAAAGCAAAATATTCAAGAGCATCTTGGATTTTTACAGGTTTGAAATTGATACACTAAATTACTTTCATTGAATGTTTTGTATGCTACATTGGGCACTAGATACTTAGAGCACTTTATAAGCTTACAGATTAGTGGAAAGAGTTAAACCTCAAGTGAAGTGATAGGGATTTACCCTGAGGAAGATCACTTGCCTTATCCTGTATGTCAAGTGGGGCGGGAAATGGGAGTGGGTTAGCCATGGGTTGGGAATAGCTTCTTGGAGATGAAGCTCACTTACATAGTGAGTGATAGCAGAAGCATCACTATGGAATTGCAGAAGAACATGGTGAATACTAAAGTACCAGTTTTGGAATGGCAAAAGAAAAGAGATTTGGTTATAGGAAAGATCACAAATTATAGAGAACTTTAAAAGTTGCCTAAGCTTCTTTAAGGATGTTGAAGTATATATTAGAGTCTCAAAGGCAGTTTAGTTAATGCTTGTGGCAGTTGTTGAATCAGAAAGGGCTGTGGTTCAAAGAATTTCTATTCTCCTTGTGAGAAAAGCCTGCATTTGAGCCTGTGTATTAGTAGGGAGATGATGTATTGGTTACATCAAATATGAGAATGCAGGTGAAATATTGGTTTAGATGATAATACTATGATTGTGTAAGGAATAAAATGAAGTAAAGGCAAGGGAGCTAATATAATGGAATTAAATAAGAGATCAAGATTGGTAGACTTTTTCAGATGAAAAAACAAAATAATACCACTGGAAAATAAGTAGCTTGTAGTCTTAAGATGATTATTAGCTCTTTTGGTCTTTGTGCTCTTCTTGTCTAGCATTAAGTCTATGGTTCATTGGTAAAAATCTTTCCTTTACAAAATTCTCAAATCCTTTTGTTTTTCTCCTGTCATTTTGTATTTACTTTTCACAACTAAACCCTTTAAAACTACTTTCTCATTAAACATATGTTTTTCTCCTACTGTTTCTGAGATATTTTATTTGGGTTTTTTTTCTGTTGGTTGCATTTGCTAGTGCTTCCTCATCAAGAAACCCGAGTCTCTGTCTTCAGCTACTCTTCTTTATCTCTACCCACTTAGATTTTTTTCTCTTGTTACAAAATGTCTTTATGCTAATTGCTTTTCAAATTTTCATCTTAAACCTGAATATCTCCTCTTAATTGGGATTATCAATGTTTTGGCTTTCTTAAGTTTAAAAAAAGTTTAAGTGAAATAATATACTTATAAACTATACTCAAAAAGAAAAGATGGATTCTGGTATCAGATGGATTCAGAGTCTCAGGACCTCGGGATTCCTTACAACTCTTGGTAACAGTGGCTTTGTATGTAAGTGGATAATTAAAAGAGGTAGAGTTATAGAATGCCTTGAAATACATTTATAACTTTACAGTGAATCTTCCATGTTGAAACAGGTGCTATTTCTTTGAAGAAAAAAAATTGTTTTCTATGTATACTGGTAGATACATAGTTGTCAGTGTTTTTGTTTTCTGATTGTGTATTTTCCCAATGGTTGGAACACAGAAATTGTATGCTGCTATGCATGAACCAGATGGAGTAGCTGGAGTAAGTGCAATTCGAAAGGCAGAACCATCTCTAAAAGAACAAATCCTTGAACATGAAAGCATTGGCTTGCTGAGGGATGCCACTGCTTGTTATGACAGGGCTATTCAGCTAGAACCAGACCAGGTAAGATGATGACTAATAAGGGCAGTGTAAGTCTCTGACTAGGAACTCTGGGAACCTTGCCTTCAATACTGCCTTACCCAGTATTACTGTGTACTATATCTGGAAAATACTTAACCCTGTTTGAGCCTGAATTTCCTTACTGATAAAATCAGAGATCTATGCTAGATGATCTCAAAATTTTCTTCCAACACCAAGTCTCCTTCCAACACCAAATTAGTGGCTTCCCAGATCATTGAGATCTATTTTGCAGTGTATTTATATTACACGTTTAAGAATTAGAACATTAATGTAATTTTAGTTTGGTATTACACATAGAAACTGTAGGCCAGGTTTGATGAGCACAGCTGCTAGGGCAACACTGCAGACTAAGGCCAGAGGATCAGAAGCTTAAGGCCAGCCTCTACAACATAATGACCCTGTCTCAGAATAAAAAACGGGGCAGGGGTTGTAGCTCAGTACAAAAGCTCTGACTTCAGGGGCCAGGGAGATGGCTCAGTGGAATAAGCGCTTCCCTGGCAAGTGCAAGGGCTTGAGTGCAAACCCTGCTTCCGCAAAAAAAAAATAAATAAATAAGAGCTCTGACTTCACTCCCCAGTACAAAAAAAAAAAAAAAAAAAAAAAAAAAAAAAAGAAAGAAAGAACCTGCCAGAGCTTGGGAGTACAAAAAAAAAAAAAAAAAGTGCATTAATTTTTGTAATACTAGCCAGGAATGGTGGCACGTGCCTGTACTCTGCTGGCTGAGGCAGGAGGATCATAGTGAGTTTAAGCCCACTCCGGCCTATATAGTGAGTTTAAACTAACCTGAACTACATAACAAGAGCCTGACTCAAAAAGCAAACAAAAATGAAAAATATTAATAATACGGATTCTCTACAACCTGAGAAGCATTGATATTTCACATACACATGCACTACACTCACCTCCCTAGAAGACTGAAATGATCCATTGCAATCATTGAACTAATGATAGTAAATTATTTTCTGGGACAGGAAAGGGATCTAGAGTGATTTATAGTCTTGATTTATGGTATTATGATCTTAGATAATCTCTCAGGGTTTTGCTTTTTAAGTATTTGATAAGTTTATTTTCTCAGAAGTTCAATACTACATGAGGCCTTTATTTTTGATCATCTTGTTTTCATTTTTAAACAATGTTGTATAATCCTATTTAACTTTTTAGTTACTAAAGCTCAGGAGCTATACATTTAAATATAATCCTTGCATTTAAGTATTTATTTTAGAAACATGACAAATAATCTTTAAAATATTAAATATATTACATGCTTTCTTATTACTTATTTGATCTGAACCATAAATTAGAACAATTCCAAAGAAATATAATAAATTAAATGAGAGTTTTTTAAAGTTATCTTCATTTTTTTACTGTTACTTTAAGTGTGTTAATAGTAGACTGTGCTATCGGGCTAGGCAAGCTAGTTGTTAAAAAAAGAGGTAAGCACAATGAAATAAACAATACCAGTTAAACTGGTTCCCAAGATAAATTTGAAGTGATAATTGCCATCTTAAATATTTTTAAATTTACAGATCATTCATTATCATGGTGTAGTGAAGTCTATGTTAGGTCTTGGTCAGCTTTCTACTGTGATTACTCAGGTGAATGGAGTGCATGCTAACAGGTAATATTTCATAAAAGAATGATTGTCTTCCCTTTTGTTTGAATAAGGAATTTTGTATATATTTTAAAATTTATATATTGAGCAGACTAATACTTATTACAGTAATGATTGTTTCATATGTTTCCATGGTGTTGGAGATAAATAGCAAACATTTGTTTTCTCCTTTTGTATAAGTTAGTAGACCATTTAATCTCGTTTTCTTCTGTTTCAATAATCATGCTTCAATTAGATTTTCCTTAACACAGGAAATTTCCAGAACCTGCCTTGCCACTGGGCTCACTCATTGGGACACTTTCTGGGCCTCAAAGCCATTTGCACTCTGGTTGTAGTACTGGCAGCAGTTATGCTCTGTTCTATTTTAACATTTAAGAAAAATAGTCATTTGTTGCTTTTACTACAGAAAGAGGAAGGAAGACTTTTAAGGATATTGATAACAGTCTCTTTAGTCCATTTTTTTTT